GGGGAGCAGAACAGGCAGATCGACGAAGTACACTGCTGAGGGGAGCAGCGGGTGGGCCAGGAGAGGTCTGCCTCACCATGTGGATCTCTGGGGCTGTCGGGAATCAAACTCATGCAGAAGTGGCTTAAGCTTCTTAGTGCTGTGCTTTAACCCGCTGCACCACCAGGGAGGGCCACGGAGTTTTATTAATTAATTAATTTGGAGATTTTGCAAAGCAATAATGATAGCATCATGAAAAACTAAGCAAATAAGGAAACAAAAAGTTTTAAAAGAAAGAAAATATGATCACAGTGTCATACATGCTTGAGCAGTTTTAAAAAGTGCTGTGCTTTATAAGATAAATAGAAATTATTGATTTTACCAAAAATTGTGGTGGTTTTATTCCTTTAGGCAGATGGAAGGAAAGGAAAATGGAAGAAGGATATCGTGTGTGTGTGTGTGTGTGTGTATTTGCTGAATTTTCCTCTCCCAAATACAAATTCAATAATTAATAATAAAAGTAAATAAAGAAGTAGCACAATATATGTATTTTTAAAAGCAGGGCAATAAACATTGGGGGAAAAGCTAGAAGTGGCATGATTTCTCCTGGGAGTTGTGACTTAAGTGAGGCAGGTCAAACAAGATATGACTGTTTTTATTGTAAGTTCTGTGATACATATTAACTTTTAAAATGATTTACATATATTAGTTAAATTAAATTACAAGGCAATTTAGGATAAAACAATGTTATAATTCACATATTTTAGAGCTAGAAAGGCAAGAAAAGAAGTCAACTAATTGTGCCACCTATCGCAGTATATAAATACCATACCAGTAAAATCAGGAGACTGAATAATGGCCTTATAATCTTCATAATCTTATTTAATAGGTAATATTATCTTAAGTCTGCCTTTCTTTCATTGTATATAGATATTCAAGTGAGGATAAATGGAAATGACTAACATTCTAATTCTGTTCTAAATTATTGCTAATTCTTCCAATTACTTTCAATGTTATAAAGTCCCACAGTTTTGTCACTGGGGCAAATGACATCCCTTTCCAAAGCAGTAATGAACTTAATTTTCTTTTCTGCTAATTGTGCAGAAAATATTGAGCAAAGATGTCAAGTCAATAGAAATTTGTTTTAGGACATGTCTGACTGTTTGATTCATCATCCCAAAGATATGGGAAATTGAACTTGTGATACCTTATACTTAAGTTAAATATTCTGTTTAACCTCCCTCCATCACTCCCACCCCTTCCTTCCCACCCCTCTCTTTCTTTTTCATGATGCCCTTTTTTAGTGATTTAGATCTGAATCTAAAAACCAAAGCTAAGGACTGGAAAAGTTTGGGTTCTACCTGTAGTCTCCTAAAGAATTTCTAGAGAATGGAGTTTCTATATCCCTGTTGCTCAACAAATTTGTTCAGTAAAGGGATTCAAAATATTTATTTGTGCAGACAGAACTGGGGTGCAGGCCAGAAGCTCAGGGGCGGCGAGAGGCTTCACCAGAGACAGAGTGGGGAACAGAACAGGCAGATCGAGGAAGTACACTGCTGAGGGGAGCAGCAGGTGGGTCAGGAGAGGTCTGCTGCACCATGTGGTCCCCTCCCGGGCAGGCGGGAATCGAACTCATGCGGAAGTGGCTTTAGATTCTCAGTGCTGTGCTTTAACCCGCTGCGCCACCAAGGAGGGCTGGGATTCAAATTTTTATAAAACAGTTCAGTGTATTGTTAAGTACATCAGCTTTGGAGTCAAGGATATTTAGATTTAACTCTCTGTAGCTTGTTCACTGTGTAAGCTAAGCATCAGTTCCCTCATATTTAATATGGGATCATTAATATTTATCTCAAAGGACTAGATGAGTATGTAAAGTTCCTGACATGTGTTTGTTTGTATATACAGATGAAGCATGCATGATATATAGTAATTTAATGTTGCTATTATTATTTCTATAATATTTAAAAAAAAATTTTGTTTTGTAGGTGCAGCCATCCTGATAGCTTTCTGTGCCATTTCTTGGTCAACTCTTGATTATCAAGTAGCTTTAAGAAAATCCTTGCCTGATAAAAATCTCTTCAGTGAATGCTGTTCCAAGCTCTCATATCTTTGTTACAAGTTGTTGACATTATCATCTTGGATGCTGAGTATTGTTTTTCTTTTATTCTTAAATGTTCAAATTGCTTTATTGCTGTTGGTTTTTTTTTGGTTGTTGGGTATATTGTGGGCATGTAAAATACAAACTCAGTTCTGTGCTTCCAAAAGTATGGAATACTTATACAGAATTGTTGCTGGATTCATTCTTATCTTTACATTTTTTAATATTAAGGGACTGCATACTAAATGTCCAATGACTTGTTATTATATTGTAAGAGTGCTAACCATAGTGGGTATCTTGATTGTGTTCTGGTTTTTCCCACTTTCTGTTTTTAATTTAGAGTATTTTATAATTATCACTATCATAATAGTTCTTAGTCTTTTCTTTGGAATTGTTTTTCTTATTGTTTATTATGTAGCTTTGCACCCAAACAGTGAAGAAACAAAATTTGATGAAGTTGATGGAAATCTAGTTGAAAAAGACTATAAAGTGAAATATCCCCTAATGGAATAAGCTATTCAATTTTAAGATTATGTCTTTTTTTTTGTTTAATTGTTTAGTAAAGAAAATATGTTATGTGTGTTGTTTCTTATTTATGCTTTCTTTAATTTGATCTCAGTTCTTGTATATTAATTATGAATATGGCATGATGATATTTTTATTAAATTAATTCCTCATTTGATTCTGATAATCTTGAGGATTGTACTTACTGCCTGGTAGAGTTGCCATATTGACTTTGACTTGTCAGAAATGGTTTGATTCCCATAATTAGAAAGCTGAAATTGAGCTTCCCTCAAACTATTTCCTCATTTTTCTTAAACTAATATTGTTGTGGAGAAATGCATAAGGAAAGAAGAGCAGAACACTCATTCTTATTTCCTCTGTTTTCTTGATTCAGTTACATTCATTTTGAGTTGAAAATAGGTTATTATCAACAAAAGGAAAGATAAAAACCATGTGATCATATTAATAGATGCCAAGAAAGCATTTGATAGGATTCAACATATATTTATGTTAGGGCCCTCCCTGGTGGCGCAGCAGGTTAAAGCACAGCACTAAGAAGCTTAAGCCACTTCTGCATGAGTTCAATCCCCGTTTGCCCCCAGAGGTGATCCACATGGCGTGGCAGACCTCTCCTGACCAGCCTGCTGCTCCCCTCAGCAGTGTACTTTGTCAATCTGCCTGTTCTGGTACCGACTCTGTCCCTGGTGAATCCTCTCACCTCCGCATCTCTGGCCTGTACCCCAGTTCTGTATGAATAAATAAATAAATCTGAAAAAAAAATCTTGAAAAACTGAGGATAAATGAAACATACTTAATATGATAAAAGCCAGTTACAACAAATCCATACCTAATGTCATTCTCAATGGTGAAAAACATTTTCCACTAAAATTTGATATAAGGCAAAGATGTCCAGTCTCACCACTGCTAATCAATATAGTATAAGTTCTAGCTGGAGCATTTATATTAGAGAAGCTATAAAAAGAATCCAAATTGTGAAAGGAGGAAAGCTATCATTATTTGCAGATGGCATGATAATATATAGAGAGAACCCTCAAGCTCTCATGAAAAAAATTGAAACCAACATTTTAGCAAAGTGGAAGGATATAAAACGAGCACACACAAAGTCTCCCTTACGCCTTAGATGTTAAGTCTCAGTACTACCACTGTTGCAATCTGGGTTTGATCCCTAGCCAGGGAGCTAACCCACATATGGTGTAGCAAACCTCTCCTGTCTTGCCTGCTGCTCTCCTTGGCAGTATATTTCAGTAAATCCACTTGGCCTGCTCCCCACTCTGTCTCTGGTGAATCCTTTCACACTCCTGATCCTCACACCTCTCGCCTATTCCCCAGTTCTATGCAAAAACAAAACAAAACAACCCCACATAAATTAGTTGCAGTCCTGTACACAATGAGAAGAGGAAGAAATTAAGAAAGATATTCCATTCACAATTACACCCATAAACAAACAAACAAACATGTAGGAGTATTTTTATAAATACCTAGGAATAAACCTAACAAAGAGGTAAAAGACCTATATAAAGAAAATTACTAGCCCTCCCTAGTGGTACAGCGGGTTAAAGTGTAGCACTGCAAGCTAGCTGCAGCCACTTCAGTGCGAGTTCGATCCCCAGCCCTGGAAGTGATCCATATGGCGTGGCAGACCTCTCCTGACCCGCCTGCTGCTCCCCTCAGCAGTGTACTTTGTCAGTCTGCCTGTTCTGCTTCCCACTCTGTCTCTGGTAAATCCCCTCACTGCTCCTGTACCTCTGGCCTGCACTCCAGTTCTATATGCATAAATAAATAAATTTAAAAAAATGTCAGTTAAAAAAATGATAATACATTGTTGAAAGAAATAGAAGATACAAAGTAGTTGAAAAATATTCCCTGTTCATGGGTTAGAAGAATCAACATTGTTAAAATGGCCTTCCTAACCAAAGCAACATATGCAATCTCAATAAAAATATCAATGGAATATAAGAACTGGAGCAAATACTACTGAAATTCTTATGGAAACAGAAAAGCAATCTTTACAATGCAGAAAGAGAATGGAGGTACCACACTGCCAAACTTCAAGCTATATTTTAAAGCCACAATAATTAAAAATAGTCTGGTACTAGAACAAAAACAATCACACAGACCAATGGAACAGAATTGGGAGTTCAGAAATAAACCCACTTATATATGTCCACTGAATCTGTGACAAAGGAGCCAAACACATCCACTGGAATAAGGGTAGCCGCTTCAGTAGATGGTGCTGGGAAAACAGAACAGCTGTATGATAAAGAATGAAACTAGACCATGATCTCAAACCATATACCAAATCATCTAAAAATGGATCAAAGATCGATGTAAAAGGAAACCATAAAACAGGCAGAAAATTTCATGACATAAACTTTATATCCCCAACAGCAAGGAAAGTAAAAGAACATAAACTGCTGGGACTACATCAAATGGATTATATTCTGTACAATGAAAGAAATCATAAATAAAGGATAAGATATCCTACTAAATAGAAAAATATTTGCACATTATAGAGCCGACAAAGGTCTGATATCAAGGATATATAAAGTACCCATAAAACTCTACAAAAATAAAAACAACCCAATCAAAAACTGGGCAAAATGACCAAAGAGATACTTCTCTAAAGAAGTATGGAGGTATCTGAAAACATTTGATATGGATCTGCCATTTGACTCAATAATTCCACTCCTAGGCATCTATCCAAAAAACTAAAAAAACACTAATTAGAAAGGAAATTTACACTTCCATGTTTATTGCGGCACTATTTACTATAACTAAACTGGAAACAATCTAAGTGTTCCAGACAGATGAGTGATCAAGGAACTGTGTCTATGTGTGTGTGTGTATATATATATATATGTATATATATATATATATATGTATGTATGTATGTATGTACATACACACACATATATATATATACACACACAAACACACACATATACACACATACATATATATATATATAATATACACACATACACACACTCAATGGAATACCAGTGATCAAATGATAAACTCATTTGTGGCAACATGAATGGAGCTGGAAGGGATAATTCTAAGTGAAATAAGTCAGAAGGAAAAAGATAAATACTGGATGGTGTCACTAATGTGTAGAATAGAAATTAACTAAATAGTCACATAAAGACAAGCTGAAAACTATCCCTTCATAGCTTACGACAGAGCTAAAGCACCAAAAGGGGAGGGATTGGGGAAGGAATAAGAGCATAGGGAAAGAAGAACTATGGTGTGTAGTAATAGAATATGGGTGAGTTGGTGCACTATGATAATAATGTCTGGTGGAGTTACCCTGTATCATTTTGGTTTAAAAAAAAAATTGTAACTTTTCTCCCCTCCCTCCCCCAAACAAATAAATAAATGTTAACCATTAGCTTTATTTGTTCAGTATTCTGCTAGGTACTGTTGTGGATACAAGACAAGTACAAGGGAGAGTTCTGTCCCTTGTTGAAGAGACATTCCTTTTTCCATTGTATGGTTGTGACTCCTTTCTCAAAGATTAATTGTCCATTATTGTGTGGGTTTATTTCTGGGCTTTCTATTCTATTCCACTGTTCTGTGTTTCTGATTTTGGCCCAGTGACATATGCTACTTTGATTATTGTTGCTGTGTAGTATAATTTGAGGTCAAAGAATGTGATATCTCCATTTTTCCCCCCTTTTTTTTTCTCAGGATATCCTTTGGGGTCTTTTATGGTTCCAAGTAAATTTTATAATTGTTATTTTTCTTGAAAAAAGTGATTTCGATTTTGATAGGTTTCCATTGACTCTTTATATTACTTTATTTATCTCTGTGGAGGGTCCTCAAACCACTAAAAATGTAGCTTACGTAAGACCAGGTATTCACTCTTAGGGATCTATACAAAGACCACAGAAATATTATTTCAAAAGTATAATTGCATTTCTATGTTTATTGCAGCACTATTTGTAATAGGTAAGATGGAAATAACCCAAGTGTCCAAAAATAGATGACTGGATCAAGAATATGTTGTATATGTACTCACAATGGAATTATTACCGAGCAATCAAAAAAGATAAACTCATGCCCTTTGCAGCAACATGCTGGACTGGAAGGGATTATGCTCAATGACATAAGCCAGAAGTAAAAAAAAATATATTGGATGATTTCACGTACAGGAAGAATGTAGAAGAACACAAATAAGGGATCAGGAAAAAAAGCAATTCCAATAAATTAAAAAACAAAATTAATAGGCAACTATAAATCAGAGATACTCTAAAGGGAAGGGAAATGGAGAAGAATAAAAATGAGGGAAGAGCACAAGGGATTATGATGATGGTGCACAGATGAATTGGTGGTGGGAATTATATGGGGATTTCACCTGAGAGGAGAAAGCATACATGTACAATAAGGAAGAATGATGTAAAATATATATAAAATTTAAAAATTGTTTTATGTAATTATTCCCATTTTGATTATGTTTATTCTAATCCATAGGCATGGGTTATCTTTCCATTTTTTTGTGCCTGTTTCCTTCAATAGAATTTTATAGCAACTTTAAAAACTTATTTATTTATTTATTTATACAGAACTGGGTACAGGCCAGAGGTGCAGGGGCAGTGAGAGGATTCTTCAGACAGAGTGGGGAGCAGAACAGACTGACTGATGAAATCTACCACTGAGGGGAGCAGCAGACGGATCAGGAGAGGTCTGGCATGGGTCACCTCCCTGGCTGGGAATTGAACTCATGTTGAAGTGACCTTAGCTTCTTAGTGCTGTGCTTTAATGTGCGGCACCACCAGGGAGGGTGTATACCTTTAAATGTGTAAG